CTACCTGGGATTGTACAAACACTTAGAAAACTATAATGGAAACGTTTGACAGTGTATCACAGCTCCATGTTTAAATTTATTTATCACAAACAATTTAATAAATATTTTAAAACTCAAATAAAACATTGACTCAACATTTAAGCAAACATCTTATAAGCATATTATTTTCGCCAGGGATTCGCTATAAGATTCAAAAGCCAGTGAACACCGAGCATCGGTTACATTGCATTGATGTTATAATTTCTCAAGCATAATATAACACATGTGTTATATTATTACATTTACATAGTTGAGTGAGAGATTCTAACATAAATGCGATGTAAGTGATGCTCGGCGTTTACTGGGAAATAATTTAAATCGCGCGTTACCGATTGTGAAGTTATTCGGACGCGGCTTTGCAGTTGACGGTACATGCGCATGGTGGCGCTAGTGAACCGATCTGACCGACGGTATCGACCGTATCGACTAGTGCCAGTCAGACTCAGACAGTCACTGTCGAGAAATGGCGTTCCCCGGTAAGGATGCTTCGCCTCTGTGGCACAATGGACCGACTCCCGGTGCGTTCTATCAGTTTCCGGGCAATCAGTACGGCACCGGTGGATTCCAGAAGTCTCAGTACGTTTCGACGACAAACTACAAGCGTTTCCGTTCGCTCGGTCCCATAGGTTTTACAACATAACCTGCGGCGATGGTGCAAATCTCGCATGTCATTCTCTCTTCCGAGGCAGAGAAAGTGAAACTCGAAATACTCGGGACCGGACAAGCCTCCGAAGTCGCACGGAGACCTGACAAGCGCTTCTCTAACTCCCATTCTGTTATTTGCAGATCTCCCATAACGACTGGCACGTCCGTCATCGGTATACAGTTCAAAGACGGAGTCATTATAGCGGCGGACGTCCTGGGTTCTTACGGATCGCTCGCGCGTTACAGAAATCTCGAGCGTATTATGAAAGTGAACGATAACATCATCCTGGGTGCGTCCGGGGATTATGCAGATTTCCAGTGCATCAAGAGCTACCTGGAGAAGAAGATGTGAGTCGGGCTTTACTTCTTACACGTCTCTTTAATATGCTTAAGGCCTGTGTCCACGACGCTAGAACTTGGCCCAAGTTATAGTTTCGTGAAATGTGTAGCCACTCAACTTGCAGCTTTTATGGAACAGCTGCAAGTTGATTGACCAAGTTCTTGCATCGTAGACGCAGGCCTTTAAAGTAATGCAACTTGGTTTGTTACATGTGATAAAGTGACAAAAGGTTTTAGAAGATTTGTGATGTAAGATTATATATTGGGATTTCCAATGAATATTAAAAGCGCCGTTGTTTACATCGACACCTTTGTTTCAGTCTCGAGGAGCAATGCCTGGACGACGGATTCACTTTAAAGCCAAAGGCGCTGCATTGCTGGCTGACGCGAGTCATGTATAGCAGACGATCAAGTTTCGATCCGTTCTGGAACAATTTTGTTATCGCCGGTTTGGAAAACGGGACACCGTAAGCGTCATGTTTCCTGAAACCTCTCGCGCTCTTCAAGTACAAATCATAGTCTCACCTTTTCAGATTTTTGGGAACCGTGGATAAGCTCGGGACAGCTTACAACGACCCTGTTATCGCGACCGGATACGGTGCTTACATGGCGACGCCTATACTGAGAAAAGCCTACGAGGAGAACAGCCAGATGAGTAAGGAGGAAGCTATCGAGCTTCTGTACAAAGTGATGCAGGTTCTTTTCTACAGAGACGCAAGATCTTTCCCGAAGGTAAACGATTAAAGTTTGTACATCGATAATTTCAATATTGTTAACGATCTGCTTTGCTTTTTAGTATCATCTCGGCATTGTCACGAAGGAGAAAGGAATCGAGATACAAGGACCACTAACTTTAGACAGTTATTGGGGACCTGCTATTTTGTAAAATTACGTTTATTTCCTTAAAGTAAGTTATAATAAAAGTATCTATGGTGAAGATCCGTTCTCTTTTAATTAAATAAATTGAAAGTTTTCATCGATTATACATTCATTTGCATTACATATACATGTAAGGATAAGAAAATATTATTTCTGGTAACTGTACACTAATAATCTTCGTTGTAACAATATAAATTTTATTCAACTTTTATTTTTATTCATAAAAACGCAAGATTAAAACGTATATGCAAATTAATGTACACGTATACTAGAAATAATATTTACTAAACTTATATAAATAACAATATATGATACAGAATTATAGACTAGAGCGTAAGCACTTCGCATCCTGTATCTGTTATTAAAATTGTATGTTCGGCTTGAGCTGTCCTAGAATTGTCGACAGTGCAAGCTGTCCATCCATCCTCCAGAATCTCGATCAGCGTTGCTCCTTGACTTAGAGCTGGCTCGATGGTAAATGTCATACCTGCTTTCATTGTTTCGGGAAAATCATTTGCTGCAAAGTAGAAAAGATATCAGTACGACAATTCAATATGTCCACAGAATGCGACAATCAAGAAGTATTTTAGCTAAAAAAACGAATCAATTTTTAATAGGAGTCCTCTATTATGAGATGGTGGGTTTTCAACATCCAAATTCAATCACAAATCTTTTTTTCGCAACGACTACACGATCTAACAATAAATTTTCTACTAAATAGAGATTTCACTCCAAGAGCAATAAATTCACAGTGGAACAAAAAATTCCTATTAATTTAGCAGAAACCCTGCTATCTCATAATAGGGGACTTTCCTCTAATGAAATAGTTTTACTGTACCAAAGTGATAAATATCTGGAGCGCCATGGAAATAAGTCCCGATACCATGGCCTAAGAGTCCAGGTATTACATTGAGATTGTGTTTGTTTGCTGTCTCTTCTATCACATTACCTGAAACAAAATGGAAAGATACAGAGTATTAAAAATGAACGTAGTAGCATGTTAACGAGTCGAGATTTTTGATCATATGTATATTATTACCGATACTGCAAAAACGTTCGTTTGGTTTGCATATTTCGATGGCCGACTTCAAGCACAATTCCGTGACCGCTATCAGTCGTTTGACTTCTGTATCTACTTCGCCCACTTGAAACATAGCCGAGCAATCGCCATGGTAGCCATTGAGATATACCTACTTGAACAAAGTTGAAAATATTTTCTTTCAACAATTTGCAACGCTGACAAAGAAATACGACTTCGTAGAGCATTTCTCATAAAAGATTAAGTTACTCACTGTTATATCAACATTGAGTGTGTCGCCTTCTTGTAACGGCCTGTTGTCCGGAATGCCATGGCAAGCGATGTTATTAACACTCGTACATATAGACTTGGGAAAGCCGCGGTAGTTGAGCGGACTGGGATAAGCTCCGTTGCCAACAATCATATCGTGTACTTGTTTGTCGAGAAAATCGGTTGTAATACCTGGCTAGCATACATTAATTTTGTCTTACGTTAGTAATACAAGTTTATTTTATGAATGCGTAGCTATTAACCTTTCTGGGCTCTGAACAAATCTCGAAATTCTGTGCAATGTATAAGTTATTTGTATAGATAATTTTTTGGAACAAAACCATTATTTTAATGAAAAGATGCCGGCAGAATAAACGTTAATCTTACGTTAAGCCGGAAAGAAAAGAACTATATAAGTGAACGCAACTCTCAAAACGTTACTTCTCAGTCACACATCGATTTGCAATATGCATGTAAATTCTTATGCACTTGGATTTTCAGCACGCAATGGTGAATGATAAATTTATATAAACTCTTCTTATTTCGCCTTGTGAAACTCGCGCCCAAAGCTCGCACGTGTCTTTCAGATATTCTCTGTACAGAGATCCAGATTCTTTTCGCATCTACAAATTCGTTTATTTAAACTCTAGGAGCAAAGTGACACGAATCTGGACTTGTATGTACGCGGGGAATAATTCACCTTAATTAACGCGTTGACTTGGCGCAGAACGCGACTGGCAAGCTTACAGCTCTGCCTCATAGACTCTATTTGATATTCATCTTTGGTCTCGGGCGTCGTCGGTCCATTTCTAGGCACCGCCGACTGGCTGTAGGACGGCTGGGGTATGTACGCAGGTACGACGGCTCTTTCGGAGACCAGCCAAGGTTGGACTATGGCGTATCTTCCGAAGGAATTATCATTGCGGATATCAGTGAACTTGGGTGTCTTTGCATCACCAGCCTGGAACGAACATCGTCTTAAATTCTTCCACTTCGATGTGGACGAGAGGTGAACCGCTGACCAAAATCATGTACAGCAATGCCTACTAATGCCCAGTGGGCATTACTTTATCTCATTATCTTATTTGATCTTTATAATGGCTCAGCAGGGCCCAAAAATGCCCAGTAATGCCGCAAATCTGTACACTGCGATGCCCTCAGCGGTTTACCCCTCGGATATTGATATCCCTCACATTAATCTCATCTAATAAAAAGAAGACAATAGCTATTATATAATCTAACGACAAAAAGTAGACAATATTATTGCTCGAAGGATCCAAGGATTCTAAGGTGTTT